GGGGCAGAGCAGGCACAGAGCCCTGCAGAAGTGACAGGGGTGGGACGGACAGACGGATGGAGACGAGAGATCTCTGGAGCCAGGGCTGGGAACTTGGGGTTTATTGCAGAGGGCCTGGGTGCAGGGCCCTGCTGGGAGCTGCAGCCACAGCTCAGAGCAGCGCCAAAGAGGGAGAGAGAGGGAGAGAGAGAAGGCAAGAGCGTGGTAAAGGGGATGAGAGAGTGAGGTTCTCGTTACAATACGATAAATCTTGTGTGTTGAAGATTCTAATTGTCACTCACCAACCTAACACAAGATACAAATCCTACAGCATTTTCATACAGCCTGTAAGAATCATGACATTACCATCCTGTGTTACATTTTAAACCCTAAAAACTCCTCTTTGGGCCCCTTCTGCAAAGCTGTAGGGTCTGCTCTGACCCTTGGGCCTGTCTGCAAGCAGAGGGTGTTGTTCCATCAAAAGGGGATTACCTTCAGCCAGCCACACCATTGTTTTCCAGTTATTCAGTAACTGAGGGATCTCAAAGCTTGCTTTCATTTCAATCTCACTTATAGTTTCTATATTCTCAACATGTTTTTCCAGGTAATCATATTGATAAGGCTTTCATGTTTCATCTTCCCCAAGAGAGCCCCTTGGGGGCAGCTGCTGGCACAGCCCAGCCCCTGCCTGTCCCTGCTCCCCCAGCCCAAGGTCCCAGACCCCCCTCTCACCTGGCTGGGGCCGCTGCTGCTCCGTTGTCTTATTCACATTTTGTGTCCCTGCGACAGGAGGGCCTGGAAAGAGAGAAGGGGTTTAGAGGGACAGAGCCCAGGTACAAAGTACAAACCACATCCCACAGGAATCACAGCAACTGCAAGGGAAAGGTTTGCTCAGACCAAGAGATGATATTTTGGGGATTGCTTTATAAAATAAAGAGATGTCCCTAGAAATTTAAAATTTCAGCATAAAATGAAAATGCACCAATAAGGAACGCATTACATAGATATTTATAATTTGCCAAATAGTCAGTGAGACGAGGAAAATATGTAAATATTTCATTAATTTTCTGTCTTTTACTGCAACTGAACTTCCAATCTAGTTTGCATCCATGCTGTGAACAAAAAATTGGATTATTAAATGTACAAATGCCGACCTCCTTCCACGCTGGAGCTTTTCTCACATTTTTTGCAAATGCAAATTCTTTTTTAGGCAAAAAAGATTTAGGGTTTATCAAACATTTAGCTGATAATATCATGGTGATTTGTAAAAATCCCTTCAAAAGGAAGATTGCTCCTCCTCTTTGTATCATTTCTCACAACAGAAAATTGTGACTCGAAGAATAATTCTCACATTTGGGGTGAGCACAGCTCAGGAAGCTGCAGAGAAAGGGAGGGAACTCTGCCAGATGCTGCCACATGGATTTAGAGCAGGAGACCCTTGCTGGGGGTCAGAAGTGCCCATGGAGAAACCCCAGCAGTGGCACAGGGGACAGGGACAGTGGCCCAGAGCCAACACGGATTTAGGGACAGAGAATTGGTCTGGGATGTCCAGAAATAAAAATCAAAATTCAAATCAAATCAAACCAAAACCATTACACCTCCCTACTGGAATCCAAGGCACTCTAAGCCCAGCAAGAACAAGAGCTGGCTGTGAGCTGGGCTGGAGCACAGGGGCTCCACCTGCCTGCTGGACTTTGCCTTTCTGCAAAGCTGCCAGAAGCTCTCAGAATGTGCAGATCTGTCCCCAAAACCATCACAGGCCCATGATTAACAGGGTGTCTGTGCAGAGGATTTGCTCCTGGCCCCTTAACCAAACCCTACAGTTTTACTCTGTCCATAACATCATTCTACTCCTTATCTGTCCCGAGTTCTACCTCTTATCTGTCCTCAAATCTTCAGCCCCTCTGACACAGGCCAGCTGTGCCCAGGTCTCATTTTAGCCTTCCATTGCACAGTTTGTGATCCCCACTGGGACAATTTACTTTTGGAGAGGCCAGAATTCCCATTACTGCCCATCCTGCTCTCCTGACAGCAGCATAGGAGGGATCTGACAACAAAAGACAACAGGCACACAAGGCTTGAAAAGAACTTCTCCTAGAAAAAAAACTTGTAAGACTCTGGCTTTGCTTCATGGTCCCAGTTTGTTTTCTGTGGGGCTGTGTTCTTTTCCTCTCCCACATCTCCAGTGCTCCCCCAGCCCCTCACAGAAAGGTAAATGGGGCTGTAAACGCAGCAATGGGGGTCTGTGGGCGATTCCCAAGCCTGACACATTCTGAGCATGAAGTGCTGTCCCTGCACTCAGTGGAATTCAGTGTGACCCATCCCAGCCCATAGGAGACCCCGTTCTCTCATCCCAAGACCACAGGCACAGGAAGAGGGGATGAACCCTGTTCCTATTTCACAGAAATTAAATTCAGATTTTAAACCTGGGGAGGCTGAGGATTTGAGGTGGCAATAAGGAGTTTGTTTTGGGGAGATGCAAAAGGGGGAAAGCTTCCTCCAGGGACATCCCAAGTGCCCCTCTGCCCAGCACCCCCTGCCTGTGGGGCTGTGCAGCTCCCTGAGGACCCAGCCCAGGCACTGGCACATTCCTGCAGCGCTGGGAAAGCCGCTGAGGCTTTGAAATGACAGCCTTGCAGTCATTGGCATGGAAAGGAAAACACAGAGGGCCGGGAGAGGGGAGGGGGGGAGCCAGGGGAGGAGGGAAGAGAGAGGAATGGGGAAAAACAGAGCTCATGTAATCTGCCTGTTTTTATTTTTATTTTACTTGTTTGTTTTTTTCCCTTTTTTGCAGAAACCACAAACCCCACTGCAAATAGATCAGACTGGAAAACAAACCACTGTGGTTTCAGCTGGGACAAAGAGTGGGATGGGACAGCTGGGGAAGAGGGAGGTGACAGCTTCATCTACACTGTTCCAGCAGGGAGACCTGTCCCAAAAAGGGATCCCTGTTCCCATTAGGGAT